GGCCAAAGGCCTTCTTTTATACCCAACACTTGAAGAAAAGACAAAAACTTAAGAGAGGTACAAAGTACAAAGTACAAAGTACATAATGAGAAGACTACAAAAAGGAGATTTCATCTCCATCACAAAAGGTCTTCCAAGGGTCATCTCCAACTCTTGTTACCAGCTGCAACCAGTCCAAAAACGAGGACTTCTTCCATTCAGACTTCCTTCCAAGAAATGGCTTAAGCATTAAGCACCTCCTACAAAAGTCAAGATGCAGCCGGGCAATGCTGTTGGAATGCTGCAGCATCACAGTGCAGTGAACTGAGTCAAAAAAATGTTATCTACTCCAACTTGTTGTAAAAACAGATTCATTATCACAATTAGCTCCAAACATAATAAATGGAAAATAAAGAAGTAAAAATGACTCAAGGTTGGGATAAACTATGAAAATCTACCTAATAAATATAAGAAATAGGTACTTTAAGTATGTAATAAACCATGCTTATCAGTAACCATCGACGGAAATTTTTGTGGATAAAAGTGATTTGTTTTGTAACATTTGTGAGCATAAATAACACAGATAAACTTTTCTAATTAATTTGGAAAGGACGAGTTTGCATACATCATATTTTCTCTAAACCCTATTCATTTGCTTTTATATTTTTGCCAACGAAATGACATCCATGTGTGAGATTAAGCGTAGATATTTCTCGTATTTCTCTTCGCTAATCTGACTGATCATAATTTTCGTTGTTCTTTGATCTCTCTGATAATATGATCGAGTGATCGACCTTTGTGTATTTGTAGCCGTGAATTGATAAATTTACGTAGTTCTTTCATTCAACTACGTGAATTTTGTGCTTTGCTGTTGAAACTATTATTTCTGGATTTACAAATAACTAATTTGTGTTACTGATGTTTCTTAAATTATTGGTAATTTTATCTGTTGGCAAACTAAAAGATTTAGTAAATTTGGGTAAAAAGTTAATTACTGACAACTCCAATTGGTCTTATACAAAATACATCTTCAAAGACACCAACGTGAGGAGATATTTTTTGATTCAATCAACGGTTTAGTCTAACGATGAGGTAGGTGGGATCCAACTCAGGACATGTCTTATATTTATACAAAATTACATCATTTATTTATCATTTTTTATGCCATTTCAAATTACTAGAAGGGTACTCGCGCAATGCAGCGAGATAAATCTTCATTTTAATGTTTAGTTTTTATTCTTTGTCTCTATCGATATAATACGATTTTATGTGATTTTGACAGAGCGATAATATTTTTATTTTTGAATGAAATATAAATTTAAATATAGTATAAAAAAATTAAAAAAAAATAAAATCGATATTAATATTAAACTAACTATTTAATAATTCTTATTTTTTGGTGTAACT